TTTTTTAATACAACATGCATTAATTGTATTTTACTTAATTGTATTTTACTTATTATAAAATTAACCATAATTAAATGTATAAGAAAATACATGAAATTATAAATACTATATATCAAACTAAAATTTTGCTTCTTATATTATAGTACATAAGATCACTAAACAATACTTAAATCATCCTAACCTAAGACGTCGGGAAGGATTACCGCGAATTTTTTGGTGTCCTATTCTTGTAAGCCGGTAAACTCCTTGAGGAACAATTATTATCAATAACTGGATTTTTTTGTTTTTTATAAGTAAGATTATGTTATATTGGCTAGTACACTGATCAATATGGAAGAAACTGAATTCTATAGTCTATAAAAGTACAACTAGACCTTGCCCACTCAAATCGTAATCATCCTGTAATGTTGTAATAATATGAATTTTATATAAGTTTATGTAGAAAATTGTACAATTTTATATTCAATGTGAGTGTACAATGAAAAAACAAAAACAATATTCACTTACATTGCAGAAAATCCACTTTCTTCTTCGTGAAATATCTATACCGCCATTGCAGTAAACGGCATGGTCAATGGATACGTTAGAAAAGGAAGATTTACTTACAGCGCTTCAGGAAGTCAGCACATTTTTCAATTTATAATGTAGGTACTTCCTGCTTACTAGGGAAATTACATTTGCGCGCCTAATATTGCATTTTACGTTTAATTGATGAAAGTTTCTAGTTCTGTTTTATGAAAAGTGGTGTAAATACACTGTGAAACAACACGTATTTATTTTACTTGAAAAAGATTATGTATCAGCGAATATTATACAAATATAATAAGCACATTACACATATACGTGTGTACATAAGATGTTGATGTTTTAATAAAATCTTACTTTATAAAACAAGTAAAGTTCTATTATCTTTCTCATCTCATGAAAACACTCCATTTCTGTATACACATTTTCATTAACGAATATATACGTATATATATATATATATATATACACACTCATGCAACCTACACTTATATAAAAACTAACGAAGCTGGCTACATACTTATGTATACATCACTCATTTCTTTGACACATACGAAAGAAAGAAAAAGGATTCAATCATGTTTAATGTCAATTATTATACTTTGTCACTCCTATTTATTCAGTGATAAATTAAACTATATAATATCAATTATTCAATAATAACACTGGAATATATTTTAGAAAGATATAACAGTCTATATGAAGAAAATGCAAGAATAACTGAATTATGGTATAAATAAAGAAAGGTAATGTTTCAGTCAAGAAAAAATAACGTTTTATGATGAAAACTTCTCGACAAAAAATAGTCATTTTATCTAGTTTCATAAAAATTGTATTATTAATTATTATTATTGACATTACTTCGTTTTATTGCTGTTAGCATAAACAAATTGTAAATTATTCTTATTGAACGTAATAATAAACAATCTGTAACAGAATCAAGTTATAATTTTTGTTAACATTTCTTATTTATATGAAGAACACTCATTCACCATACAAGGATTTTCTATTAACTTTCTTGGAAAACAAGTAATATTTTATTGATAAATATGTCATCATCAGAACAATCAATGATTGTACAATCAAAATTTGTCTCAGGAGAGACTGTAATAATTGTATCCTTTTATTAAAAAGCAAAATTATTGTTTCTTGTGTTTTTAAAGAATATTTATAAACCAATGTGCATCTATAAAACCTTAATTATTTGCAAAGGCAATGGAAGCATCATTGATACAAGGTTGGGTTAAAGCTGCACGAATTATAGCACTTCTTAACAAAGGAACTACTCATGCATTGGTTATTTTAATTACTTCAAGAACACCTCCTCAAGTTTATAGTGATCTTACAATAGAAAGAGTATTGCCTATTGATCAAGACTTCAAATGTAATATAAGTATGTAATTTTATTTAATTTATTTATATGTTTAATAATCAGTCATATATGTAATTCTAAATTACATAGCATAATTAAATTAATTAAATAGCATAATACTTTTATCTATAATCTATCGAATATTGTTTATTAGATACTGATGAAAAGCAACAAGATGGTTTAGATGTTTATCTGAATGTTACATCAAGAAAATTACATTTAGTATTTGAAATGAAGCCTGGAGTAGCAACTAGCTCCTTGGTGTCTGAAGTATTTAGAGCTATAGAAAGTAAGCATGCGTTATTGCTCATTTAATTTTATGTTATCAATAATATGTTTCTGTTCCTAGTAAAGAGTATGTTTTCTAATCATTTCAGTATATCAAAAAACTAAGAATTCAGCATCAGAATTTTTGTGGGTCCAAAAGTTAACAGGAAATACACGTAACTTGAGTTCTAATACCAATGAAGAAATACAAGATAATACTGATCCAGTTAGTAAATTAAAAATTTAGTTAGTTTAGTTAGTAAATTAATAAATTAAATTTAATTAGAGATTAATAATGAAAATTTTTTAATATTTTCTTATAGTTGGTGGATTTAGAAAGTCCAGTTTTAGTTGTAACAAGACGCAGCATTGCTTCTGGCAAATCACCAGTAGCTGCCAGAGAGTCAGCAGTAAGATATCAAATGGCATGCAAAGAAGATGATTATACATACAGCAAAATCTTTCGGTTTGTTTTATATTTTTTATACACTATGTATAATGTATTTTTATTTACTAGTTTGTAATGAATTTATTACAGTATATTTATTGGCACATGGAATGTAAATGGCCAACCACCAAATGGTATTAAATTGCATGAATGGTTGAGTTATGATAAAACACCTCCTGATGTATATGCAATTGGATTTCAAGAATTAGATTTAACTAAAGAAGCATTTCTTTTCAATGATACTCCAAGAGAAGAAGAATGGAGGTATAAGATTTATAAGAGAATATTTATGATTTTATAATTATACAAAAATATTATTGAACAATATCTGAATATTATTATTGTTATTTGTGTTACTAATATGTTTATAGACAAGTTGTAGCAAAATCCCTTCATCCAGAGGGTGTATATGAGCAAGTAGCTATTGTGAGATTAGTTGGTATGATGTTACTTATATATGCTTTACATAGTCACGTACCATACATAAAAGATGTATCAGTTGATACAGTAGGTACTGGTATCATGGGCAAAATGGTAATATATTTATTATATCTTATAAGTAATTAAAAATCAGCATTGTAACATTTCAATCTTATCAGGGCAACAAAGGAGGAGTAGCAGTAAGCTGTTCTATTCACAATACATCTATTTGTTTTGTTAATGCTCATTTAGCAGCACATTGTGAAGAATACGAAAGACGAAACCAAGATTATGCAGATATATGTGCGCGATTATCTTTCGCAAAATATGTTCCACCTAAAAGTTTTAAGGATCATGAGTAAGTTCTTTTCAATTATTGTTTCGGAGTACATATCAACAGAAATATATTTAAAAACCAAAATTTTTAATATAGCCAGATTTATTGGTTAGGAGATTTGAATTATCGAATAACAGAAATGGATGTTCTAGTTGCTAAACAACATATAGAGGCAGAAAATTATGCCCCTCTGTTAGCTTTAGATCAATTAGGCCAACAACGACGATTAGGCCGTGTTTTACAAGGATTTCAAGAAGCAAAAATTACATTTAAACCAACATATAAATATGATCCAGGCACTGATAATTGGGATTCAAGGTTTAACAATTACATTGGAATTTTTCTCTTTTTATTGTACTTTTTAATAAGGATAAATATGTTTAATTGTAGTGAAAAAGGCAGAGCTCCAGCATGGTGTGATCGTATACTATGGAAAGGAGAAGCAATTACGTCTATAGATTACAGAAGTCATTCTGAATTAAAAATTTCGGATCATAAACCCGTTAGTGCAATTTTTGATTCTCAGGTAAATGTAAATATTTTTTTAATAGAACAGAAATTATATGTTGTTGAGTTTTATATTTTTATATCTAATATTTTATAGATCAGGATCATAGATATGACAAAGTATCGTAAAATTCATGAAGAAGTTATGAAAAAACTTGATAAATTAGAAAACGAATTTTTACCGCAAGTGATGGTTGATACAACAGAAATCATATTTGATACTTTGAAATTTCTTGAACCCAGTAGCAAAGAACTTATTATTGCTAATACTGGCCAGGTAAATAAATGTTTAAAACATATATACTTGTCATGTGTAAATAATTATGCTGTTCATAGGTACCAGTTCAATTTGAATTCATAAAAAAATTAGGCGACGCTAGTTATTGTAAAGATTGGTTGGATATAGAACCGTTTAAAGGTTTTATAAAACCAGGTATGATTTTTTTCTTTTTTTTTTTTTAACCTAATTGGATATTTTATAATTCTATTTGTATATTACATTTAGGAGAGAAATGTGATACTAGATTTGAAATATATGTTGACAAAAGATCAGCATGTAAATTAAATTCTGGAGAAGATAAGTTATATGACATTTTAATTTTACATCTAGAAGGAGGAAAGGATATATTTATAACTGTTACAGGTAGCAATACTTTTAATCGCCACTACATTACTTTTAAAAAACAAGAAAAGCAGACTATATAATTTTCTTAGGTACTTATGAAAGAAGCTGTTTCGGATCTTCAATGGAAGCTTTAGTTCACATTCCAGTACCAATTAGAGAAATTCCTATTGGTAGACTAATGGAACTTGTAAGCATATTCGTAACAATATCGTTTAGAAAAACAAAATGTAAATTATTTCTGTTTCCATTTGAGAAAAAATCATTTATATTCACAATTCAGTTTTAATCTAAAGTATTTTTTAATATCATCAACAATTTCCAAAATATTTAAATGAAATATCCTACATATAAAAGATCTTCAAAAAATCATTTAAGTTAATATTATTTTCATCAAATTTTAGGAAAATAATAAAAATCTTTCTCAAGAACCATATGCTATACCTAAAGAAATATGGCTATTAGTAGATAGATTGTATCGACATGGGATAAAAACGACGGGGCTTTTTGAAACACCCGGACTTCCTAGTGAAATTATAGCTATAAGAGATTGGTTAGACAATTGGAGCCAAGATCCAATGCGTATCCTAATTCAACTAAAAAACTTAATTTTAACTTTAAAAAGGACTTAAAATTTTTTACATTATTATAAATAATTTTGATTCCTTAACTTCCTCAAAGCTGGTAGCGTACATTCGGTTGCAGAAGCATTACTTTTACTTCTAGAATCTACAACAGAACCTCTAATCCCATATAATTTGCATAGTGTATGCTTATCCGCAGCAACAAATTATTTACAGTGCAAACAGGTGTGTAGATCTAAAAATATTTAAACAAAGGTAATATTATATTTTTTACTATTAAAAATATTTTGTTGTATAGATTGTAATGCAACTTCCAGAAATAAGAAGAACAGTTTTTGTTTATATTTGTTACTTTTTACAAGAATTATTAAATCATACTCAAGATAATGAATTGGATGCTAAAACCCTTGGTAAGGCTCTACTTAGTTTATTTATTACTGTAATTAATAAACTTATTTTTTATCTAATTATGTTATAGCAACAATATTTGGATCAATTTTCTTAAGAGATCCACCAAGAAGTAGAGGTGATAGAAATCAAAGAAGTCGTACTCAGATCGTTCAAGCAACAATTGACCGAAAAAAAGCTGCATTTGTTTACCATTTCTTAGTAAATGATCAAAGTGATTTTATTCTTGGTCGATAGTAATATTTAAAACTTAAAAACAAGTATTTAAATGCACTTCAAATTCAGCTGAAAAAGAAATAAAACATTTTGTTTAGGAGAAAATAATTATATAAGTAGCAGTATGTTAAATAAATATTTTGTCACATTAATATTTCTATACTAGTACTTAACAGTTATGCGAACAAAATTTTTACATGAAACAATGCACGTAAATAACTTGCCAGTCCAAGAACATCTTGAATACATTTTGTGTGCTTACATAAAATACTCCTAATTAAGTAATAAGTAAAAAATTTATATTATAATTCCATCTAGTCTTTGTAGCCTAAAATGGTTAAATATGTATTATATAGATTTATTTATAGTAAGAAATTGTATTTGCTTAAGTTTATATTAGCTTGTAATTATTATTAAGTATTTACAACTACGACATTCTAAATATATAGATGTTAACTGAAAAACTCATTTTTATTTAATGCTTATGACTGTATTGTATTATATAAAATTATTCAGAACTACTACTATCAATACGTGTTAACTTTTGTATTAAACGTTTATTAAAAAATACATATAAATTGTAATGTGTATCAGTAATTTCTAGTATTTATAAGACACAATTTTAAAAACCACATACATAATAAAAATAATAATGAAAATACTTGCTAAATAAAATTTTCACAATGATTAAATATAGAAATAAATGTTTCAAGATGTGTTATAAATTTGATAAGAAAAAACAAAATATTAAAATAATTTTAAAAATAGTTGTTAAAACATTGCAAAATATATATTTGTTACACAAAAAGATTTTGAAATTAATATCAGGGCTAATAAAGAAAATTTTAATAAAAAGAAAAATAAACAAATAGCTCGAAAGCTATGTATAGAAAGGAATATTAACTGGAAATTGATATCGTGGAAGACACAAAATGTCAATAAAGCATTATAAAAGGGGCAAAAATTGTCTTTAATATTCATTTGCAACGACGAAAAAATGTAAACCTATTTACAAAATGAACTGAAACACACTCTAACATATTAAATGACAAAACTGATTAAGGAATTTTAAAAATTGAAACCCTTTTGTGCTGTCTCATTTGCTTTAAACTCCAACTGAGTATCAGCTACAGATGTTGTCAATATTGGTTCCTGTGCATCCTAGGAAAAAATTTTGTACATGACATTCAAATAAAATTATTAATAATCAAACATTAAATTTTTATATATCTTTTTACCGGTTCTGAGAAGAAAGTATCTATCATTGCGGTAGCTTTTTGATAGACTTGTTCCACATCATGATGTTGTAAATTTTCCAATTTATCCAAACCACCAATTTCTTCTATCATAATAGCTATTCGTTCAATCTCTCCCATTCTATCTGCTGCGTTACAAATATTAGTTAAACCGTCAAGAACAACAATTATTGTTTTCCAATCTTTAGCTTCCAGAAGATTGCAGAATGGTGCAAGCACTCCCAATTCTACTAGGTGGGATAATTGTTGTACTGATCCACTTGTAGTTAAATTTGTTACTGCCCATGCTGCCTCTTTTTGAGATTTAAAATCTCCCTAAAAGATAAATTTTATAATGCTTTATTTCTAATAATTAAATGGTTAGTGAAGAACAATTTACTTACACACTCTAGAACGTGTATTAGAGGCGGTAATAATCCAGCACTTATGACATGTTGAATTTGTTCCATGGTTCCAGCAGTGATATTACTAATAGTCCATGCTGCTTCTTTAACAATATTAGTACGATGATGTTGTAATAATAATCCCAAATATTGCAAACCACCTGCCGATATTATTGCATCAGTTTGCGTGTCATTTCCTGTAACTATATTTCCCACAGCTCGAAGCGCTGGTGTTAAAACTGTCACTTCAGTTGAATTTAGTAATTGTACGAGTTTCGGAATAACTCCACATTCAACGACCGCTTGTATTTTATCGTTAGAACCATCAGTAAGATATGAAAGGGCCCAGCAAGCATCAGCTACAATGAAAAATTTGTTTATAATTAAAAGATTTATATTATAATTAGATATGCAGCAAGTTTTAAAGAAAGTATAATCAATTTACCAAGTATATCTTTATCATTATTACTAAGTAAACGATTTAATACTGGAAGAGCAGTTCTTACAACGTTGAATGGGGGTGGAGGATTTTTATTACGACACAAATTTGACAGAGTCCAAACAATGTTACGTGTAAATGTTACCTAATAAAAATTTAATTTTACTTATAATAATAAAATATTATACCCTCATTAAAATAAATATATATTGTACATACAGCAGTGTCCGGTTTAATTAATTCTAGTAAAAGTGGCATAGCATCATATGCGAGAACAAGATCCCGAGCTACTGGTCCATCTCCAGCAATGTTTCCAAGTGCCCATACAGCTTGTTCAGCAACATTGGGTGATGCAGATTTAAGTAATGCAACCAATTTTTGTATAGCGCCATGTTTAACAACAACGTGAGTTTGTTCTGATGTACCAGATGCTACATTTGTTAGAGCCCACGCTGCCTCAAATTGTAATGCAGCGCTACAAACATTTGATATAAATAATACTTCATACAAATTAATATTTAAAACATTAATATTTAAAATTATCATTGTCCAAATTGCTACATACTTATGATGATAATCCAAAAATGCAACACATAGCGGAACAATTCCACACTGAATCATACTGTCTATAGGGGGATTCTTTTCACGGCTTAACATTTTTCTACAACCTTGCGTCGCTTGAAGTTGAATTGTTTCGTCCGAAGATTTCATACCATTAACAATTTCATCTATAGATGTAGAAAGAATCGAATGATTATTTTCACTTGCAGAATTTCGTGATTCTTTGCCTATATTCAAATTCCGTCGTTTTTGTAATTGTTCATCTTTCCTAGCTTTACGTAACTCCACAGAGATTTCACTTCTCCTTCTACGTGCTTCCTACAATAATTTATATAAAATTTAGTTTATCAAAAAACAATATATTTAACAAATTTTATAAGTCATCTATAAATAAAACAAATAAAATAATAATCTAAAAATAAATTTATAAATAAAAATAGATAATTTATACGATTAACTTACTTCATGTTTATAATTGAATTTAAAGTTGGCTTTGCGACTATGGCAATCAGCAAGTTCTGGTGCAGGCATTTTTGTATCTTAAGTAAATTCGATCGAAATTTTCCTCTGTAATACAAGTAATATAGTTCGCTAATGTATTCAATTACAAAATAAATTGAATAGGTTCGAATAAAATTACACAACGTACAACGAGAATACGAGAAATTTATTCTTTTCTAGCTATTAATTAAATACGTAATGATTTCAGCGTAATTATATACAATGATGGTACCTTGTCAGACAGCTAGTATAAATACGAACACGATGGTATATTACACGATTCACATATAAAATATTACGCTAAATATTTCAAATTTACATTTTCCAACGGTTATTTAGTATTTTTTTCAATTTTTCCCTATCTTACATGATCCATTTAGCCTATAATTGTAAGTGTATATTAAAATCATAAAATTTTACTTACATCGCAAGTATGTCAATATTAAAATATTAAAATATGCAGAACAGAAGATGGTTTATCAGATACTTTATGAACTGATCGCGACCCGCGCGTTGAAGATACAATGGCTGCTGCTGAAGAGGTTTCTTCGTACTTAGAACCTGTTGCTGTTGATCGAAGAACGTAAAAGAAATGATTGTTTATGTCACCATCCAACTAGAACTTCCATATATATATGACGAAACGACATATTGAATTATGATTGGTCGTTGCAATTATGACAATACGTAATTGGTTAGTCAATATCCAACGTCTAATTTTTAAATTAAAATGAACTAGTCGAAATACCATTTACGTTCATGAATCTTATATTATTTTTTAATATTAAACTAATATTAATTTCTAAAATAATTTATTTAACTTTTAGTGTTATTAATCAATACTTTCAAAACATCAAAATGTAAATCTTACTTAACAAAATTAATAATGATAACGAAATATTTTACTAGTATCGTAATGCTCTGTCTTTTATCGCCTTTTAATATTTATTATTGAAATTAGAAAACAAATTTTAAAAAATTATATGTAGTGATTCAACATCACATTATACAAAATGCGAATATACAACATATAAATAAATACAAGATAAAAATCATATTAAATAATTTTATTTCTATTTAATATATAAAATTATTAATACTGTACAAAGATTACATAATTATAACATTATAAAAAAGATAATATAAGAATATTACATATTTTGTATAAACTTAATAAATTCCTCTACTTACAATAATATTATAAAACATTACATACGCAAAAACATTCGATCGTATAAGATATACATATTGTAACTGTTAATTTCTATTTGATTAATATTAATTGTTTTAAGTATTATTATTCAGTTCATAACTTGTGTAACATAAAATAACAGTATACAATTTTATTATTTTAATTAAGTTACAGATTTTATTATATGCTTTGTATGGTTCTTTATGTGATACATGACTCCAGTGTTTTTTTAACAGCATCACGTGCATAAGGAATATAAGATAAAGAATACCAAGTCATTGCCAATGATTGAATAATTATAAATATAAGAGCCAATCCAGCATTCTTCAGCTATAAATATGCGTGTTAATTAAATCGAATATTATGCCATTGAAATAATAGCCATATATTGCAAATTTTACAATATTACTTACATGTAACGCTGCAAATAATGTCATTGCAATTGTTATAAATACTAAAACAGTTGCAATCACTCTTGTTGGTGCAAACATCTTCTTAAATTGATTGAATGGACCCATTAGAAAACATGTGCTATGAATAAAATAAAAAATATTTTGCTTTTAACACAAAAACATACATACTCAATTATGAATTTCATAAATAAAAATATAAAATTACAATAAAATAAAGGATTGTTGGGAAAATCATTACATTGAATCTATGTTAAAATATCTTTACAATTCTTGTTATACTTTATTAATGAATTTACTGAATTTACTGAATTTATTTTTATGATACTTCTGTGAAGAAACAGATGAATAGATATCTTTTAAGAAAGAAAACATATGTTGACATAAATACCTATTATTGAATATATGTGATATTGAATTTCAATATATTATTCTACCTTGCTAATGAGATGATATTGCCTAGTGTGTAAAATACGGCAAATACTGTAAGTCCTTTGTGTAAAAATAAGGCAAAGGATCCAAGGAAGGAGCAGAGAATACCAACAATAAAACAAATAGCAAAACCTTTTATTCGAGTAGACCAACTTAACGTAGTTTGATCCATAACCTAGAAATAAAAATTCATACAATTTGTCTTGTATTAAAAATTTCTCCAGTTGTTGATACATATAGTTATTGAAAATATATGTAATAGTATATCCTTTTTAAATGTATAAGCTTACCATAAAATCCACATCAGTCTTCCATTAAAAATTGTATGCATTTAAAATAATAATTTCGCATGAACAAAATAATGTATTATGTGTACATTAAAAATTATATGACATTAATTACCTGAGTAATAATACCACTTTCTTCATCACATTGCTCATTGCCACTTAAAGCTCTCCTCAACTTATCCATTTTCTGTTTCGAATTATTATTTAAAGAAATAGTATTTTATATTTAGTATTATTATCCTAAATCAACACGATATTTTTTCATAAAACTAAAAACGATTCGCTTCTCGTAAATGCATGATTCATTTCAACATCTACGTTTGATAATTATGACATAAGTAGTATTAATATTTAAAATTAAAAAACAAATAATATAATACAGTCACGGAAGTATCAAGAAATTTTTTTCGTACACAAATGAACAGTATTATACGTAACAGCTGTTTTGTGCGAGTTTCATATTTAAATATATACTATTACATACTTTATTAAAAAAAAAAAAAAAAAAAAAAAAAAAAAAACGACAGCTTCTATCTTGAACATAAATATGTAAGCAAACAAGATATCTTCAAAAATTCAGTTATGCACCATAATAAATTTTTCAAGATCAATAAAACTGAAATTTTTAAGCTATATAATCTATCATTTTATAGGTTGGAATGTGCGATAAAAAATACACTAATGTTTAATTACGTATATCAATATTATCTGTATTGCGCTACAAAACAAAATAAATCATAAATTATAACTTTTTATTACAGAAAAAAAATGATTTTAATACAGAAAAATTCGATATAAATTTTATAATAAAAAATAAACATAATTAAATTTTTAAATTTTTATAATAAAAAACAAACATAATTACATTTTTAAATACTTCATATTTGTATATAATTAAAAACTCATTTTATTTAAGTGAATTTAATTATATATCATAAAATTAAAAAATATATTTATATATACATATTTTATGTGATTTTAATGTATATTACATATATAAATCATTATAATGTATTATCTACACAGATTATATACATAATACTATGAAAATATACGAATAATATATAAAAGCAGATACATAATTTCTTATGTTGTAGAATAAAATTTTTTTGTAAGATACTTTGTTTTTGAAAAATTGAAAATTTGAGTACATATGTATCAACGCAATTTTTGATGAAATACATTCAAAATCTATTTAGAATAAAACTGTTACTTATAAGGTACTTATACTAGGTACTTGAATTACCTGTAGGACACCTGGATATTTTATCCGAGTAATTTTTATTTTATCCGGATATTTCATGGGTATTTGGGTAAAGATACTAGCTCTAATTTAGAATAACGAAAAATGCATTTAGAAATAAATAGAAATAAATGGATGTATTCTATGAACAAATAGATGAAATTTCATTTATGTAATCTGCTGCTTCTTCCTCTCCAATTTCTCTTAATACTGTTTGCATATCCATAAGGGATAGGATTGCCTCCACCTAAAAAAAGTTTTTTTATACCTCTTATGAATCAAAACATTAATAATAAAATTTCAATAATCTCATAATAGTAAAATATGTAACTTACATCGATGTAATTTAAAAGGCCTAATGAAGGACTTATCGAATTATGTTGAAATGTTTGTAACAAGTACTCAATATTTAATTGTTTTGCAAGTTTTTGCCATCCTTGCGTTTTATCTAATAGGATAGATAATTTTTCTTTGTGCTCATTGTTTAACCAATTTGTTTCTAAATCTTCATGTTTTAATTCTAATTTTGTAGTAACTAAACACATTTTATTTGTAGTTTTCTCAGATTGACCATTAAAAACTTGTAAAATCTGTAAAAAATGTATGATTAAACAATTTATTGTAACTGTATAATACGTAATCTTCAAATTAATGTTTTCACACATATTTAAATAAAATAATAATTACATCTGGTTTATTCATAGCTAAATCAAATGATGATTGTCCAATCGCTCCTTCTATATTTTCATCTTCTGAATGCACTTCGACTTTTACATTGACATGTGATTCCTTCTTTTTATTCACCTAATGAAAAAATTAAATAAGAAATATTATAACATGTATTATATTCAAAGCATCAAAAATTGGACAATAAAATATTTTTACAAAAAGAAGTAATTTACATCATTTGACTCTCGATTATGATTTTGAATATATGGATCTGCACCATGTTGTATTAATAATGCACATAGTTCTTTTGCTCGTGTCCCCGTATGTACAACTGCAGTATGTAATGCAGTGTTTCCACTAAAATTTCTTTTATTTACTGATATATTTGTCTGTAATAATAAAATTAAATTAAAAATATATAATAATATGTAAATAATAATATATAAATATATATAATAATCCTGATTATATACTTATAATAAGATAATGAGTAACATACCTTTTTAAGTAAATATTCAACTATCTTTTTATGTCCACCTTCAACAGCTATATGCAATGCAGTTCGACCATAAGACATATCAGTATTATTTACATTTGCACCAGCATGAACAAGTGAACATACTGCATCATAGGATCCTGCTTTGGTTGCAAGATGCAATGCCGTCCATCCAGCATCATTATATGCTTCAATATTTATTCCTTTTTCAGATAATAATACATCAACACATGCACCAGCATCAGATACTGAAATATGTTATATTAAAATAATTTGTAGGTATTTCAACACTTTCTTAAATTTTTTAGACATTAGTTCTATTTTTATTAATAAATTAATAAATAGATTAATTGTAAAATATGAGGTAAAAAATTGTAATAGTAAATTATTTTAGTTAGTCTATTAATAGTAAATTACTTTAGTTAGTCTATTAATAGAAATTATAGATAGAAATTATTTTAGTTAGTCTATTAAAATCTATTTAATTTTCAGTTTCATTTTTTAATGATTTAACTTACTTTTTACTGCTACATGTAATGGAGAAAATCCGTGATCATCTGTTCGATTAGGATCAGCTCCAAGCATAAGTAATGCTTTTGTAATTTCAGGTTGATTTTGTAAAACAGCATAATGCAGTGGAGTCTGAACAAAATATTATATCCAAATTATATTTTTTACATTAAATTTCTTAAATATTATATTTTTTACATTAAATTTCTTAAATATTCTAATTTATAATAAATTAATTCAAAATAAATGCAAAAATATTTCAAAAAATATATTTACTTTTCCAGAACTATTTTGACTATTAATTAGCGTCTTACAATCCTTATTAGTACATAATAACATTAAAAGATATTTGACAATATTATGTTGACCATATCGAAGTGCTGAATGTAATGGGGAATCCCCATATGTCGATCGATCTTTAAGTAATTTCTGGATATATTCCTCCATATTTTTCGCATCCATTTTCATACATTGCATAATTTCAGTAAGTATATTTTTAGCAAACATTACATCATCTTGGTACTAATAAAAAAAATATTCACATTAATTATTAAATTAAAAACATTTTCCAGATAAATTAATATAAAGAGAAAATAAAAGAAATATATACTTGTACAATTGATGGGCCGTCAGTGCCTAGCATATTCTCTTCACTATTTAATAATAATTTTAAATAATCTATAAAAAAATGCAATTAAAATTTTACAATGAATTCAATCCAGAAGAAAAAAGATTGTATGACAGAAATTATTTTGCATACGCGAAATAAAATGTTAAGAGTATCCGCAAAATCGTGAGTATCTCTGCCAGCACGATAAATACACTTTTGAAATTATATGTATTATATGTAGAAGTATTGCGTACTTACTATCAACATCTATATCACTGAGAAAATCTTTGCATACTGGCGTTGTAGTACCTTCAGACAATATTTTTTTTATTTCTTTAGATAATTCGTGGCTGTTGCTATTATTTAAGAGTTCTGATATATTCTCGTTTCCAATGGAATTGGTATTTGGTAATATATTTGATAATTCCGAACTCCCAGAATAAGATATTCGTTGACGTTTTCTACCTAAACATTTAATATCTTTATTTTAAATTTATTATATATATATATATTATTATTAGGAATGTAAAGATGTTTCAATCTGCAGTCAAATTGGATCGAATCACGTCAAGATTTTGCAAGTTTGTACTTCCATATGTTCAAGTACTTGTAATCTGATTCGATCATTACCCGACCCAAATTTAACTATAGTATACTAATTTGACATATTTATAAATATATTTTATAATATTATATATTTTTAAATCTTCAGCATTCCGACTTAACATAAATCCTTAATTTCAAATATCTGCACATTTCTTAATATTTATATGTATTACCTATAATTCTATCACTTGGTTTATAAGTAAACTTTCTTGCATCAGAGCAATCTCCATCAGATGGTCGTTCTAACTGTATAAAAACGTTTTTCGGTAAAGTAATATTTTGATCTTTGTATGGTGGAGTTCTATAAAGAAATATGTATATAAATATATAAAAACTATTATATACTTTAGTATTAGTTAAAATTTTGTTCGTAATATAAAATGCAAATACAAAGTGATCTATTAAAAATAGATTATCTTAATATCATTTATTATACTAATATTATCAAACATAAAAATTAATGATTAGAAGATATTAAGATAGCCTGTTTTAATACTACTATACCGGAATACAATGGCATATTGATGATGTACATCCAATTCTGAAAAACGTCCATATGCACTCCAAATTTCACAACCATCCTCATTTAATTCAAAAAATTTTATTCTGATATTTTCTGCAATGAAAAATATTATATTAGAAGTATTTGAACTCGACTTTCTGTATTAATTTAATAATTTTTATATTAGTTTGATAATTACTTTTTCCTACTTTCTCTACAAGTATAAATATTTCTTCTCCTCCTTCAACACTACTAGTGAGTTTATCCATTCTGCATATTTTAAGCTCGCCAGTTAATGCACTTTCTGTTAAATTATAGATATTTTTTCAATTACTTCCCTTATATAAAATGTATATTTCAATACATTATTATTTTTCACTTACTAAGATTATTAATAGTTTGTGAATATACAGGTTCTGTTATTGGTATCATTACTCCACAATGATTTGTGACAAATGCTTGAAAACAAAGTGCAACACTATTCAAATTCATATGTTTTTGATAGTGATCAGCATCAACTTTAATCTTCAAAATAAAATGTTCACTTAATTAAAAAAAGATATAGAAGACTTTATTATATTTAATTATATCTAATCTATACTTTTAAAATTTTATGTATTAATTAGTATTATCAATAGCATCTATAATATAGTTTATACAAATAATAAAATATTAAACTAACATACTTGTGCTTCTTCTCTACTATTAAGAATTGCCTTTATATTTGTATTTTTCTTTTTCTCTAAAGCTTCTAGTCTCATCTTTTTTATAAGCTCATCTCTAATATGCCTTTTTGCAGTGTGTATAATTGCCATTCCCTGAAATCTGAATACCACATAATATTAATGATGAATAATAGAAAATAGTAATAATATTAATGAATATAAATTTATAAAACTAAAAAATATAACAAATATAACACACATAAGATATTTGATAACATACATTGCAGTATATCCAGTTTCAGCAGACACTGTAATATAATGTGGATCATCATAATCTTGACCACCATCTCTACGGATTAATTTATGAGCATGAGGAATTCTGGAAAGTCCTTCATCAGATGTAACTAATGTACATCGTATTACTGCAGGATCCAGAAAATTATGTAACTAAATAAAATATTACAGTTATTTACATTATTACTTAAATAACTTAAAAGTTTAAAATCATATCTTTATCATATCTTTTATCAATATCAAATTTTTAAAATGGGATTATAGATACATACTTGTACTGTTGGTACATTCTTACGATTTGATCCTACTAAGCTTCCATGTGTTCCTACCATTTCAGATTTGTACCGAAATCTAAATTTTTCTGTAGGTTGTTCCAAGATTGTTATATATGGATCTCCAATAACTTAAACAAATACAATATATTTTAATATAAAAATAAAATTGTAAATCATAAAAAATATTATACCTGTTATGTCAGTTAATTCATTATCATGTAATGATGACAATACAGACATAGATGAACTAACACTTGCTGTCTCTTGGGATCCACTGCTTGGACTGTAAATACCTCGAGTGTTCATTGCTTGTAATTCTATACAGAAAAATATATATATATATATATATATATATATATATATATATATATGGATTTCAAATAAATTTTTCTATAAAAATAACATGTACACATACACACTCACACACATATACAAGTTATAATTTTATATCAAATTTACTATTATGAATTTATATTGCAAGTTTATTTAAAATATTAAAATTAAAAGTAAATTGACAATTACCATATCCAGAAGAGAAAAAGTCCTCGTTTTCAAAAGCTGTATAAACTTCAGGCATCGTGCGTTATTAAAAAATAATCAGAACTAATATTCAAATATAATAATAAGAATTTTTAAGAATAACGATATTTATGGACACTAAACAACATAAAATAACAATATTTATGGACACTAAATAAGATAAAATAGTTTAAGAAACAACAAGAGTTTTGATTAGCTATCTTAAGTGTTCGTGTACTCACCGCGAACATGAATACTTCTTATCTATTAATATGTCACAATATAACCTTGATCAGTAGGTTTTTCCCCTACGAAATAACTAATCATTTTTCAGATATAAGTTTTCCACAAGAAAGGATTGTAGCAAGCTGTTATAAGACCCAACTCTATGTTATTTTTCATACGAATTTTATAAATAATATTAAAAACATTTAATATTCGTATCTGTTCACTGATTATGACAAATGATTGCGTATTTTTTGTTTTTATTATATATATATATATACTATATTACATATACATACACACATAAAATTAAAATCATTCAGTAGAGGTCATAATATGGTAATAACAATTTGCAAGTGGAAGAAATTTCGGGAAATTTTAAGGTTACTTTTTTAAATGGAGTAATATATTTTTTTATTCACAATAATGACAAAAAAATATTATGTATTGTGAGCGAATGTTAGCCACGCCGCTCGTTTCTAGGCGTGGGAAGACTTCCTTGCCTACTCGGTAGAAGAGGCCACTCAAGGTTAAGGATCATGTGCCGGTCCCAAGGTTTATGACGGATGCCCGTAAAGTCCCCAAGGTTTATGACGGATGCCCGTCATAAACCACAGCTAGGGTATTCGGACGAAGGTCGGACCGCGGAATATATACCCAAAGGAGTGCACGGAGGAGCAGTCCGTCAGCAGAACGTCACCAAGTCGAACGTCAGTCTAGCGCGAAAATATACACTTTGTCCTCGACAAGAAGTGTCTTGTAAAATTATTGCCTACAGTATGTATGTCGAAATTGTAAGTTTACAAGAGCTACTGTAAACTTCGATTTCATAAAATTATTGCATCGATGGTGGGGATATCTTACGATATTACATATGTATATATTTGTGTACAAATGTATTAGAAAAGCAAGTTATCTGTGGCATTGCATACACTTCGAGTACAAAATTCACAGAGTAAAGACATCCAGCAATGTCAGTTAAAGGCGAGAAAATTGGTATAATTGGCAGGTAATGAAACTTGAATAAATAAAACGTAATAGCATTATTTCTTTATATTTAGATTTATTAAAAACAAATAAACAATATAGTGATTATATATAATGATTTATACATAATTATGTTTTAGATAATTTCATTTAATACTATAAAATTACTTGTAATTCAATTTCATTAGAATGCATCATAGAATATATAGTAATAATTTCATTAAAATACATTTTAAACTAGTTTTATAACATTGATACACATTTAATATTTTCGCATTTATTAACAAAATTATTATGTATAATTATGTACAATTTATTAACAAATAATATATAAGTACGATATTTTTTTAATAAATATGCAAAAACAATATTTGCGAGAAAGAAAGCTAGAAAATTTATCTACAAAATATTTTTAAACGATAATTCATTTAAAAAATCAAACACTACTGATGCCCTGAATTGAATCTAATTTGATAAGATAACAGTGGAAAAATTAAACGATAAATAGAGAATTATATAAAATTTAATATCTAGCTACAGATATCGAACTTAAAAATTAATCAATCTTATTTAAACAACGTAATTAACAACAACAAATCCTAGATTAAAAAATACAGTAATATTGGAGACACTTATTTAATTTGAAATAAAATAATAATATAATATTTATTTTAGCGGTCTTATCGGCCGCAGTTGGGCAATGCTGTTTGCCAGCGTAGGATATGAAGTAATTATTTATGACATTGTAAAAGAACAAATCAATCGTGCTCTCGAAGATATTCAACAGCAATTGCAGCGTCTTGAAAGTGATGATCTTTTGAGAGGCTCACTCACCGCAGACCAGCAATTTAAATTAATTACAGGTTCGTATACATACTTGTTGCAATATACATCTAGATATGTATAATTAACTGTGTTCATAAAATTAACATTCGAATTAATATAACTATATAACATATTGAAATTAATTCAATCAATTGTTAACAGGATCGTCTAATTTAGTCGAAGTTGTAAAGGGAGCAAAATTTATACAAGAATGTGTTCCCGAAAATTTACCATTAAAACTTAAGGTTTACAACGAACTTGATAAATTAGTTGATAATAAAGTAATTTTGTCTTCTTCAACATCTACTTTCCGTCCATCCTTGTTTAGCGAGAAGTTAAAACATCGTGAACAAATTATTGTATCGCATCCAGTATGTATCTTTTTCTAATATACATGTATAGGAAAAAAATATTTATTTTTAATGTAAATACTTTTTTTGAAATAACTAAAGATACATATTCTTCTAAATATAGGTAAATCCTCCATATTATGTACCACTTGTAGAAATTGTCCCAGCTCCTTGGACACGTGCTGAAATACCATCACAAACAAAAGCTATTATGACAGAAATAGGCCAAACACCTGTTGTATTTTCTAGAGAAATTGATGGTTTTGCACTTAACCGGATACAGTATGTAATTTTTTTAGAATATGAACTTTCAATTTCAAATCTGTTACTTTTTATCAATGTTCATATATTTATAAAAAAAAAAAATTAATATATGTTTAGATATGCAATTTTAAATGAAGCTTGGAGACTCGTAGCAGATGGAATTTTAAGCGCTAAAGACGTAGATGCCGTTATGAGTGAAGGACTTGGAATGCGATATGCATTCCTCGGTGCTTTTGAGGCAGCGCATTTAAATGCTGAAGGTAAAATCTTTCATTATTTATAAAAAATTTCATGGTAATTTTAAAAGCCATGAGTAACATTTATTAAATTATTTCATTTCAGGGATGAAGAAATACTGCGAAACGTACAAAAATTCAATTTACGATGTGAGTATGACATTTGGTCCAGTTCCTAAATTTGAAGGCGAGATGGCGGAAAAGATTAGTAATGAATTGAATGCTATGTGTCCGCTGGAAAAGCTTCAAGAAAGACGTGCATGGAGAGATGAAGCTTTAACAAAATTATCGTTGTTAAAAAAAGAATTAAATAAAAAAAAATAAAAATATTAATAGCATAATAAATAAAACTGAGTTTGTAAACTTATAAAATTGAATAAATGTCGTATTAATTACCATTAGTGTTTTATCAATTCAACAACATTAAAATGGTACGCTTATTTATGTTATGTTATTATGTTATATGTAGTTAGTTTAAAAACTGGATCTTAGTTCTTCATAATTGAAAAAAAAATTTTTGTGGGAAAATAATAAACAAATTTTTTAAATATAAAGTTTCATTTTATTTATACAATGCGGAAATTTATCGTTTTCCTCCGACACGTGGGGCTGATTTTTGTGTTACTCTTGCAATTTTATGCTTTGGTAGAGTTTTTGCTTTAGGAGGTGCAACTGCTTTCTTTGATGCTTTTGCAGCTTTTTTCTGTTCCTTCGCAGCTCTGAAACAAAAAATTTGACACGTATATTTTAAACAATAACAAGAGTAACTGACAGTATGAGATTTGTTTGAACCCGCAAAAACCAGACAGTGTAAAATATATTACAATTCTGGGTGAAGCAATTCATTTATTCTAAGACATTCTGAAATCTAACACGATATAAAATATCATATTAAAGGAACAGATGTCTATAATGTGATTTTGTTTTTACAATACAAATTTGAACAAACGAGTTAGCTACAACAGTTGAAACAATACTTACTTGATTGCTTGATCTCTTTGTGCTTTACGAATTTCTGGTTTCATATTACGTTTTGCTAAAATATCAGTAAGAGATGCACCTACAATAGCACGTTGGAATTTTTGAGTACGTCTTGTTCTCTTTTTCGTTTGTTCTTCTTCTTGCCCCTTCTTGTGCTTTCGTCTGTAACATTAAATTATACATTTCATAATTACTTCTTGTCTTCAAAAATATATAAAATACTAGAGATAAATATACCTATATAATACAGTCCATGTGACTTTTCTTGGATTACGTCGCATTAAATGTGCAGATTCACATTTTGAATTTAGAAAAGTGAATGTCTGAAAATATACAGAGGTTATGGTTGTCATATGAACACAAATAAATTAATATTATTTAATTATGATGTGACTATATGTATAATAAAAACTTAATAATATTACAATCAATATGAACAAATTTAATTGAATTTTATTCAACATACTTTTCCATCCACTTTCACCATTGTTTTACCATGGCCGGGATATATTTTATATCCACTGTATGCACAAAGACCGATCCTGAAAAGATTAATATTATATTTATTACAAATCCTTCAATGGTATAATTTCTTGAAGATGTTACAACAATTTTAAATGATTGCATTTAATTTGTCGGATATATCTCCTAAAAACATTCACTTACTTCATGTTGAATTATGAAGAAAACGCAGACTTAACGAAAATGGCCGATTTCTTGGAGAAACAACATGGTGGAGTATTAAGTGTTGCCAATATTAAAAAATCAATTTTCATGTACATACGTACATTGATTTAAATAAGAAATTGAAAAGAATATGAACATATTGCCGAATGAGATGATAAATATGTAATAATAATATTAATAATTTTTAATAATTTTTTATAATATATATATATATATATATATATACGGAGTTTTATAGAAGTAAGTACTAATTACCAATTTAATGTAAAGTGAAAATAATTTTTACATAACCATGAGCAACAGTTTCTAACACATCTCATATTTAATATTTGAATTGATAATTGAATTAATAATTGATAATATGTCTCATATTTAATAATTGAATTAAAAATATTTGAATTTAAAGATATACTTGTAAAACGAAACCACGTGCTAAGTGTACGCATTTTAAGGTTATTATCTCATTACTGTCAAAACAAACCATACATCTTTAAAATGAAAGATACAAGTATTGTGGGATTTGTCGATCCAAAAGAAGAAAACGATAATGATGAAGATAAAGAAATAAATAATATGAAAAAGAAATTATGTAAAAAGTCAGGAGGATTTCAATCCATGGCTCTTAGTTTTCCTATATTGAAGGGAATATTAAAGCGAGGATACAAAATACCAACACCTATTCAAAGGAAGGTAAACATGATATAAGTCTCATAATAAATTGTTCTTATAGCTTAATTTCTGATAAATCAGCATTATTTTTATATCTATATTATTCCATATCATAATATACATTATGTTTTTATAGACAATTCCTTTAGCTTTAGAAGGATGTGATGTAGTAGCAATGGCTAGAACAGGAAGTGGAAAAACTGCATGTTTTTTAATTCCTCTCTTTGAAAAACTTAAAACAAGGCAAGCAAAAGCTGGTGCTAGAGCTTTAATTTTATCACCCACTAGGGAACTAGCATTACAGACTTTAAAATTCATAAAAGAATTAGGCAAATTTACAGACTTAAAAGCAGCTGTCATTTTGGGAGGTGATAGTATGGAAAATCAGTTTAGTGCAATTCATGGAAATCCTGATATACTAGTAGCAACACCTGGCAGATTTCTACATATCTGTATAGAAATGGATTTACAATTAAATAATATCCAATATGTAGTCTTTGATGAAGCTGACAGGTAAAAATATATATTTCTATATTCTTTTCCATCATAGTATACAAGTATAATATTATAAATGAAGTAATATTAATATGTAGATATATCATATATCATATATAAATTATGTTATAGATTATTTGAAATGGGTTTTGGCGAACAAATTAATGAGATTACAAACAGATTACCAGAATCAAGACAAACATTATTATTTTCTGCAACGTTACCTAAACTTTTAGTAGATTTTGCAAAAGCTGGATTAACTGATCCTGTTTTATTACGTTTAGATGTAGAAAATAAAATACCAGAACAATTGACACTTTCATTTACAATATGTCGACCAGAAGAAAAATTGGCAGTGTTATTATGTTTGTTAAAAAACGTTATTAAAAATGATTCTCAAACGGTAATATTTGCTGCAACTCAACATCATGTTGAATATATTCATCAGGTAGGCAATGTAACTTACAATTTATAAGTAGTATATTAATTTGATTGTAAAATTATTGTACCTTATCAATAGATATTAGAAAAAGCTGGAATTTCTAACACGTATATCTATTCTAATTTGGACCCGTCAGCTCGAAAAATAAATGCAGCTAAATTTCAAACTAGTAAAGTCCGAGTTCTAATAGTAACAGATGTTGCCGCTCGAGGTTTAGACATTCCTCATTTGGATAACGTAATCAATTTTAATTTCCCTGCGAAGTCGAAGCTCTTTGTACATAGAGTAGGTAAGTGAACAAGTTGTGTTTTAAATTGTATAAAAATTTATACATTGATTTATTGTAATAGGTCGTTGTGCACGAGCAGGCCGTGCTGGTACTGCATACAATATTATAAGTCCAGACGAATATGCTTATTTGCTAGATTTACATCTTTTTCTCGGACGTCCCTTACGTATTATACGAGCTTCTGAATCTGGATCTATAGAAAATACAAACGGTTTTGTTGGTAAAATGCCACAAGCAATGATAGAAGAAGAACTTACAGAATTAATAAATTGGCATAATTGTTCTACAGATCTAGTATGTAATTTCATTATATTTATTGAAACAACTATTTATAATTTCATATTTACATTTTGTGTATAGAGAAATATGGAAAAAGTTTGTGATAATGCATATAAACAATATATTCGATCGCGGCCTGCAGCTTCATCAGAAAGTATTAAAAGGATAAAGGAATTACACATCAGCGAAGCAGGTGTTATGCCAGAATATTCGAATGTTTCTTTAAGTACCACGAACTTGCTATCAAAAATAGTGAATTATAAACCACAAGGAGTATGTATATTCATAAAATCGGTATCAGTTATATTATAATTATATGATGTCTAATTATTAAATATTTGTTGTAGACAATATTTGAAATTGGAGCTAAGGCATCATCTCTTGATTATCAAGTTATGAAAAAGAAACGTATGTTACATAAAGAAAATATTATAAATTTTCACAGAAAGACAGATGAATTAGAAGCTAAAAAAAATTCAGAAGGTAAATGCACATTTTAATCAGCTAATGCGAGTTTTATTAATATAATTTTTATGTAATAATTAATAGCATATTGTAGATTTATCAAGACAAGTAGATTTTCCATCAAGTACAACCGATGAAATAAATGCAGCATTTAATAAAGTTGTACTTCCAAAGAAAAGAAATCTAGATGATTTATATAAACCTAAAAAGAAAAAACGATCAGTAATACGAGACGAAGAATTTTTTATTCCATATTATGCTCCAGATAAACATACGGAAGAAGGGTAAATTTTTAGTAAAATAATCATTGTTTACCATACATTATATTTAAATATATTTTTACAGTTTAGCAGTTAATTCCTTTAATACAGAAGCAGATAAAGTACAAATGGATTTAACTGCTGATAATGAAGAATCCCAGCGATTACAAGCGCAAATAAAAAAATGGGATCGTAAAAAGAAGAAAATGATCACTATTAATAATGTATATATTTTAAATCATTAATGAATTCATAGGAAACAAGATATTTTAAATAAATGTGTCTTTTTAAAGGAACGAAAAGTTAATAAAATACGGACAGAATCTGGAGTTTGGATACCTGCTAGTTACAAATCAAATCGTTATTCGACTTGGAAGGAAAAGAGCAAAATCGATGCTACAAATGACGATAATAGTGAAGAGGAACCTTCACAGATGCAGAAGTGTATGTAGTTGAGTTTAGTGATGTTTATTATTTAAGCAGGTATATCATGTATGTATTTATTTTCTATATATTTCAGTGCAAACAACGGCTAATACACATTGGGCACGCCACAACCAGAAAATAAAGGAAAAGATCAAAAAGAATAACGAATTGAAACGTCCAGAACAAATTCTTAAGGCACGTAAATTGCTTGAACAAAAACGTAAAAGAAACGGCCGAAAAAATCGAAAAGGTCAGAAAAATAATAGAAAAAAACATTAGTAGATGATTTTTATATCTATGTACAAATATTAAATATTAAATATATTAAATAATAAATATATAAATATTTATTAATGAACTATTTTTCTTGTGTGTGTATCTTCCTCCTATTTTAAATTACGTATTTATTGATGTAAAATTATTATAAACTTTATGTAAGAATATTCTATATATGTATTTCTATATATTTTTTGAAACTGATGTGAAATGAAAAAATTAAAACTGTATTGCAATCATTGCAGAACGATTATGAAGCATTTTACAATTTGTGAAGATTTCTGTTGCATCATTGCAGTTCCCTTGCGTAATTGTTAAGTTCTACGTCAGAAGCTTATTACGTGCAGTTGGTAGGTAGGTAGTTTCCTACGAATAATGGAAGCCTCAAAAAGTTGCATGAACTAAGAAAGTCTATGCTATTTTCATAGAAAACGAAAAAAAAAAGATCTTGAAATATATATAATATTCTTGCATTTAATGTGTTATATAAATTACTAAATATTACACACTACAATTATAAATAATTTATTAGAACTTGTTATAATTATTGCTACAAAAATGTTTTCAAACATTAATAGATTATTAAAACTGTTACAGTATTTTATTTTATAATTTTGTAATAATTAAATAATTATTTTATTTTGTGCATAAATAATTATTGATGAAATTTCGATAAAAAAGATTTAGTTAATATCTTTAAAATAAAGTGATAATCCTTTCTATTACAAGTGAATTAATTTAATAGATACACTATATGTTATACACTATATATGACATTCAGGATGCATATTATGTATTAAATATACAATTTATCAAAAATAGAAAATGTTTAACAATTAAAACATTTTCTATTTTTAGATAGAAAATACTTATTGTTTGACTAAAAGTTATATATTATTATGCATTCAAGACTCGCGATATTTGTGATGAAATAAAAGAGAAAGGAAACACTCAAATAGCGTAACTCTCTTCATGAGTCATAGATGACAACTTATTTAGTGTTTGGTGGAATATAAAATGTTGGCACTAAAACAGTCTGAATCATTTGATGTTGATCATCGTTTATTTATAATATATGTCTCATCACCTTCAATATATGCACATATTAATACTTTGCGCTAATATTAATTAAAATTAATATAATTGAAAGATTGAAGATCTAATAATGAAATGTGTTTAAACTATTTAATATTTTTCAATATGCTTTCGAGCCATCAACTTTTCTGAACGTGTTCTTTTCTTTCACAAAATCGGATATTTTACAAATGTTTACCCAGTCTTAAACAGTTCTTCAATTATATAATTTTTATCAATGATGAATTCTTTAAATACTCATCAATCATTGATAAGATTTAAAAAAAAAACGCAAGTTATAGAACGTACACGAAAACAAGAATATTCTACCAATTATTCACTGCAATATTGATCGATGCAAATTATGCAGATGTTCAGATGTTCAAAACCTGGTGCAAGGTCGCGGCAGTCATTCGCGCGTTCATTTCAGAAATTTAAA